TGTTTGAGTTCTTGCCAAATTTGTGCTTTTTGAGTACTTGTGCTCTGTTTTCTGGTGATTGTTGAACTTTGTTCTAAGAAATTGGGTGGATATTGGGTTATGGGGTGGATAGTTGGGTTATGGGTTAAAAAAAGGGTCAAACGGGTAGTTCAATAGGAATAAGACACGTGTAAGCAATTAGGGATCCGTTAGTGAGAGGGGTATATGTGTACCTATAATTGGACGGAAGGGGCTTATATGGACGCAAAGTATAACGGAGGGCATATACGTACCATTTATTAAAGTACGGGGTAAATCCGTCCCTTCTCCCTATTTTAAAATTCATATAAAAATTTCAATAACTTCTCAAATTCCATAATATGACATAAATTTTTAAAAAAAGTCTTATAAATCATAATAAATAGTACAATATTTCAACTACTTTAAAAGTATTATAAATTGTAATAAATAATACAACAATTTAAATTACTTAAAATTTAATGACTTAAAAATATTTTTTTTAAAATGTATTAAAAATTTTGGTTAATTGTCAAAACTTTACATGTGCCACATAAATTGGGACATGGAGAGTCACACATATTTTTTAAAAATAATTACATTAAAAGTATTCTATCAATTAACAACATATATTGTTTGAAATTCACGAAAAAGAAACTATAAATTACAATAATTAAAAATTTTCAATAACTTCTCAAATTTCATAATATAACATAAATTAAAATAAAAAAATGTATATATTGGGCCCCGTGCTGGCACGGGGTCCTATATCTAGTATTATAATAAAACTACAATTCTCTTGAATATTTTTTTTTACAAAAATGTTTTCAAGCATTTTATTAAAATTTAATTTTAAGCATCAATTTTACCTACCTTAAATTTGGAGCCTTTGTAACTTAAATAGTGGTCCATGCCTAATACCATAAATCACAAATGGGTCATCCTATTAATATTATTTAAATTTTAATATACTGATAAATTTATAATTTTCTATATTTAATATAATTTAATCATTGTAACAACAATAAATACTCTCGCCTCGTAAGCGTAACAGTACTCTCTCTCTCTCTTTTTAAAAGAAAACATGAATAAAATATTTTATATTGACAAAAATTAAATAATAAACTATTAATATTAATTAAAAAATGAAGATTAAAGTATTACTATACCCAAAAAAATTAATTATTTTCTTACCCCACTCCAGTGCCCTCCTCCCCCTAACCCCCCTCCCAAACCACCCACTCATTCCCAAACAAAATTGATATTATTTTATTTTTAAAAAATAAAAATTATACCCCACCCTATTTTATCCTCCGCTCCTAATTTATTTATTTATTTTACATTTTCGTCGTTTTGTGTTAAATATGTACTTCTATTTTATGGAATTTTTTTCTACCTATGTACTGAATATAACATTAATAAAAAAATTATTTTAAAAAAAGTTTTGTGGCAGCAAGTAATAAGAAATACTTTCCTAAAAATATGTATATATTTAACATAAAACTAGAAAAAAAATTTGGAGTTATTATTATTTTTTAAATAAAATTAAATCTAAATTATTATTGGAAGGAGAGGAAATTAAATACTTTTATAAAAGAAATTCAAACAAAAAAATAAAAATGGGGGGAGGGGGGGTACGGTGAGAGAGAGGAAGTGATGGAGTGGAATAACAAAAATATTTTACATTTTATTTAATAAAAAATATTATTTGTTGTGGATAATAATTCTTTAATCTTTAACTTTAACTATTACTAATAATTTATTTAATTTTTGTTAAGGTGAAATATTTTGTCCATGTAGAGTGTGATTTGACAATTTTTTTTAAATAAAAGAGAAAGCGTAATACATATACCATGAAAAGAGTGTAATAATAAAAACATAGGGATGTGTTTTTCAAACTAATAAGTGATAGTTTAAGTATGAAACTTTCACTCTCAATAATTTAGGTATGAAACTATAAAAGATAATTTAAGTGTGTTTTTAAACACTTATCTCAATACGGAATAATAACTACTCCCTCTGTCCCAATTTATGTGATACATTTCGCTTTTCGAGAGTCAAACAATTTAAATTTGACCGAGAATTTGCTCATGAAATTTTCAATTTATTAAAAATGAATTTTATATATTTGTAAACTATATAAAAAATACTATAAGTCTCAACAATTGATAATTCAAAATATTTAAAAGATATAGGAAAAATTTACGGTCAAAGATAGACTTGTTTGAATCTCAAAATTCGAAATGTGTCACATAAATTGGGACAGAGGGAGTAATATCCATGAATAACCTAAAAATGAGTTACGAGATATAAAGAAGTGGAATAATGAATGAATTAAGATTAGTGAATAATGGATTTCAATAGAGAAGTAATGGTGATGGTTGACCATTACCAAGATCTGCCATTAAACAAAATGGGCAATTAAGCCTAATGAGCATTGATTCCAAAAGTAATTAGGTACACAATGCCTAATGTTCTTGTAGAAAATGCAGCACAAAGAATTAAAGTATGCACTTTAATATAATATTAAAAGGAAAATTAAATAATTAAACGACTTAGATAATATAATTTTTAAGAATTTCTATCATTAAATTAATTATAAAAAAATCTCTTTTTTTTTTCTCTCTTATCATTCGTATACATCACTCCAGCTCTATTAGATACATTATAACTTTATTTGTGTACAATGTATTTGGTACAAATATTATTACTGATACATAACTCTAATTATTTCAAACCTAAATTGGTATGAATCTAATTTATAATTTATAATTATGTATATGATACATAACTTATGTATCGTTTGTTATGTCTGGGCGAAGAAATAATGTATTCGCAAGTTCTAAAAAAAATCAAAATTATTATAATTTGAAAAACTTTTGAGATAAAATACAATTAGCGTCCAAATTGTTGCAAATTTTATACTTTATACTTAATAAAATGTTACACTAACAATCACTCTCACAAACATGTGGATATTATCAAATCTGGCCTTACACCAACCCTTTTTTTTTTTTTGGGAGTTATTCAGCCAAACCAAGAGGTTAGGAAGTTATTAATATCACCATAATTAATATTAGTATCAAAATTATGGCAAAAGAAGGACCACACTTGCTTAACAATTAAAATTTTGCCAAAAAAGTGCAAGGGCTATTATATCTCTTGTTAATAGTTGCTACAACCTAAACATCTTAACTTTGCATTTCTGATAGAATTTGGCAAGAAATTTTAAAAATTTATAATATTTTTTTATTTTAAAATATACTGATTTTTTTTAAAAAAATTTAATTAAAAGAGTAAAAATGTTCAAAAAAATAAAATAACATAGGTAAGATACCATTCTAGCAAAATTTTCTGCCAAAAGAATTTTTTCTAATTATATTTACTTTCTTCAAGAAAGAGCTAGAAAAACACAAATAAAAGTTGAAAAAGTATTGTATTATAAATAGGGCATATCACAGTATTGTTGAGACATTCGGATCATGAATTTCAGAAACTGAATACAAAAATACAGCGTAAAACGATCTAGTTTTCAATTTTATTTTTTTATTAAAGGTAGAATCATAAGATTCGAAATAATATATAAGATAATAAATTTTCAATTATATTTTTTATTATCTACCAAACTAGACCAAAAAAAATAATTTACATACTCGTTTTTATTTCTAGAAAAAAAAGATCCCTAATCCCCATGCTGAGGAGTGCACCTCGCCAAATGATCTCATGGATCACGCATACCATTTTTTGATCTTCTGAAAATAAAAGTCATTCCCCATGCTGAGGTTGACACACCCTTTTTGTCTTTTTCTTAATAATAAAGTATTTTATGACTAATTTAATATGTGTGCGTAATCAATTACGACACGTTAATACTTAATAGATTCGTTATATATATGTATATATATTTATATATGAGTAAATTTTATAACATACATAAAAATCATATTAGCGCCTTATAGCTACAGTTTTGATATTTGCGCTTATATTTGCTATGAAGCATTGATTTGTATAGATCGCAGACATTTGATTTGTATAAAATCGCAGTGATTTATATAAATCAAACGTCTATATCTAAAAAAATTGTTTTTATATAAATATAATAAAGCCATAAAATAATATACAACACGTACTCAACCAGCTCACAACCAAGTTGAGCACCCAATAATCTATTTACAATGTACTATTTACGTACTTTATTTGCATCAATTTATATGATATAATTTGCATTGACACAAAATTTAAGAAAAAAACTAAAAATATACATACGAGATTTTTTTACAAATTTACCTAAAAACAGTTCTTTTTAAAGATAATGATACAAAACATACTTGAATTATCACTTTTTTCGCAAGTTTCTTATCCTAGATATCATCTATTTTCTTTTTCCTATCTAAACTATCATCATCCATGTACTAAAAAGACACACATCAACTATCTGTTGTTCCCTTTTGCTATTCAAAAGATAGTGATTAATCCAAATAGTAAACATGAATAACTGATAGTTACGATGTGTTTTAATACATTGATGATGATGTTACGATAAAAAAAAAATGAAACATTTGATAACTAAGGTATGATATTGACTTAAAAACCTCTAATTCAAATATTTTTCGACCATTAACTATTCTTTTAATCTACTTAATTATAGTCTTATAGATACCCTCTCTACGCACTCGTAAAAGTTTTTATTACCTATAAAGTCACCTTCTTTAAATGTGCCTAAATTTTCTAAAACAAACAATCACACAAGTCGTTACTTTGCATTAAATTTGGCTAGAAGTCTACATCCAATTATGTCTTCAAAATATATTGAGGTTGAAATAATGAGAAAAACATAAAACACCATGTAGGATTCAAATTTCCATGTAAGATGCTACGTATGATGCGTATGTCTATTTGTTCAATTTTTATACATGTTTAAGTTTCTACGCAGAGGCCAAATTAAGGGCATTTTTATGTATTATGTCTATAATATAACTAGTGCAACAATAACAATACGATTCTTTGTCCCAAACATTGTTTGGTTGGCTATGTTTATTTCACATAAACATTACATCAACTATAATCAATCAGCATAAATGTCTACCTCAACGGGATTATCTAACAAAGCTATTGAATCAGACGAAAATGTCGTAGAACCTCCCATGATCTGATGGACAATCGGTTGTGATTGAAGAGGCAGAGGAGGTACTTCTAGCACTTCAACTTCGCCTTCAAGCATTTCTACCACTTTACTCATTGAAGGGCGTTGTATCGGATTTGTTTGTATACACCATAATGCAACCAAACTCAGCTTCCTAGCAATCTTCTTTTCATCATCATTCGCTTCTTCATCCACCACAATCTCTTTCCCTTTGTTGAACTTATCGTAAATATTATAAGGAAAGTATTGGCTGGAATTCTCTTCATTTGCAACTTCATTTCTCTTCAAGTCCAACATTTCCATTAGCAGCATTCCGAAGCTGTAAACATCAGCTTTGTACGAGATTGCTCCAATGCTTCTGCTGATCAACTCTGGAGCAACATATCCAATCGTTCCACGAGCAGCTGTGAGAGTCACAATGCTCTTATCTGTTGGATATAATTTCGCAAGCCCAAAGTCAGAAATCTTTGGAATGAAATTCTCATCCAAAAGAATGTTGTGTGGTTTGATGTCAAAATGCAAAATTCGTACATCACAGCCTCGATGCAAATACCCAATTCCTCGAGCCACTCCAAGAATAATGTCATACTTCCTCTGCCAACTTAACAGAGGACTTCCTTCTTGACTCGTGCTGATGTACTTATCAAGTGATCCATTGGGCATGAAGTCGTATACAAGAGCACGCTTTGTTCCCTCAACGCAATACCCCACGAGTCCAACCACATTGACATGATGAATCCTTCCAATGGTAGCTACTTCATTCATGAAATCTTGCCCATCAGCTTTAGGCTTGCTCAACATCTTCACTGCTGCATCTCTTCCACTTTGAAGCTTTCCTTTGTACACAGTTCCGTAACCTCCCTCGCCTAATTTCTCTTTGAATCCTCTTGTCATTCTCTTTATGTTGGAGTAATTATATCTGATTGGCATGAAATTATTTTGTGTTTGCAGAAAGCCTTCAATCGTATCGTACATTGACAAATGCCTCCTTTTGAATTTGTACACGAGAAATGCAATTACCAACGGAAGGCCGATCACAAATTTTGCTACCAAATGCACTGCACGTTTGAGAAATCATAGAAAGTAACTTCCCCTTAGGCCAACAAAACATAGAAATGATAAGGAGATAGAAGGCTATGTTTTCAGAAATATTGCTATTAACAGCTTTCTATACTTAACACTATAAGGTACACAAGCTTTACTTATATCATCATGACGTATAAAGGATTCGAAGAAATTAGTTTTCGAATTTTTGTGTCGTGCTCACTTTTATGCCAGTGAGGCCATTTAAACACATGATCAATGGAATGATAAGTTTTGTGCAGCCAAATAACATACAGCTTAATGAAGGGATATATAAGTAATAAGAGCTTACTCAGGAAAAGCAGAAGTAGCAACTGACTGCTCCCTGGTTTGATTAAAGTGCAAAATATTTAGAATGAGAGATCAATGGAGAATTAAAAGCATATGTAGAGAAAAGTTTGAGTACTCACAGAGAATCATTAAAGCAACACCTACAAAGACATGAAGAAATCAAATTGTAGTGAGTGAATCCATTGTTTTCCTAATAAAGGAGAAAATCATATATAGTTGAAGTCGTTACTTATCCTTTTTCCGAAACGCGGATAATAGAGCTCAAAGCCATAAAGGATTGCTTGATGAAAATCAGAAAGGGAAATGTTGTTCTCTGCATCTTTAATATTAGGCCATGAGGTTAAGCCTATAAACTCCGCTCTGCATCCATCACTCACTTCAGAGACATTCATTTCTCCAATCTTTAAATAAGTGTATCTGCTTAATTTGCAGCCACTAATTTCCACAAATGTCGAAGAATTATTAACAGCAAACGGACAGTTGAACATGAAGATGGGCTCAGCTATTGTTTTATAATATTCATTAGTATACGTATATGATTGAAAGATTCTATTGTATTGGTTGAAATTAAGCTGAGGTCTGAAAGAACATAGATCATCTTGTTCTTGTGTTTGTAAAGTCGGATCAACCAGGTGAATTGTCCGATTATCATAGCCGATGCCTTGAACGTGCAACTTTTTGGAGAATAGCCATATAACTGTTTGGTTACCTTCACAAGCTAATTCAATTTTTTTATCATCTCCGCAATATTCTGGATCGGTGTTTAAACGAAAAGGGTAGCTTATGTTACGGATATCGCCACAAGCAGAAGGAGGACAGTAGTGTTTGCTCTTCCGAGCATGGCATGTTTGCAGAAAGATGATTTGAAGGATTAATGTAAAGTATTTAAGCTGACAGTTTCCTTTAGACATTTGTGTATTACTCAGGTTCAGCTGAGACTTCACAATAATTGCTGTTATCATATATAAGAGTAAAAATGCAATTAAACCATCTAGCAAGTTGAAGCTTTGTGGACTTTTCATTACCAATATTACTCCTTTGGGTCCCAAGCCAATGGAAGACTTGTGTTTGGTCCTTGATGGGGAAGTTGCAATTTGATGAAGGTCCCTCAAGAGGAAGACTTTGACGGTTTACCAATTTATTAGTGAGGGAGATGGAAATGTCATGTTTCCCCCATATGCCAAACACACCTTTTGCTCAAATTGTGTATTTGTGTTGAACAGTCGTGACTTTATATATTTATTTATAGGCATAATACATGAATATGCCTTTTATATTTATGTCCTCCCAGAGGCGTATCCAGGATTTTGGCTAGATGGGTGCACGATTATGAAAAAATGTATCTTAAATATAAATTTGATCGATTTGACTTTTTGATTATTAATATGAACCATTAAATTTTAAAACTTATAGGTCCAAAATATATAATACTACTAGTTTTAAATTTTAATATACACATTTGATTTAATTACATAAAAAATTTACAGTGCTAAATTTTTTAGGAATTTGCAATGTAACACACTTGAAAATTTTGAAAGATTAAAGGGGAAAAAAAGCAAAATTAGTTGAAACGTCAAAAGTATAACTGAGAACCACTTGAAGAGGTGTTACTCAAAAAGACAACATAGATATAAAATTTAAATTTCTATCCTCACATAGATAGGTGCACCCCAATCATCATCATCGTATTATTATATGATACTTTGAACATGGGTTCACACATCTATATTTAAATATTTTTTAAAAAAATATTGACACTACTATATATGATCTAGAGAGGGGAGCATGGGTTCACGTGAACCCACGGCACCCCCTCTAGATACGCCTCTGTGTCCTCCAACTTAGGGTGTGCACAAGAATACACTTGAACTTGTGTAAAGTTGAACAAAGACACATGCGTCCTACATGACAATTTGGGTCCTATGTGATGTCCTACATGTATTATGTCATGTAGGACTCATAGGGCTGGACATTCGGTAAATTCGGTTCAGTTTCGATTTTTTTCGGTTTTCGGTTCTTGCATAGGTGTACCGAACACCAGACCGAAATAATTCAGTTCGGTTCGGTTTTTGTAGGATTCAAGTTTCCTTGTAAGGATGCCACGCAGGATGCGTGTGTCTATTTGTTCAACTTTATATATGTTTAAGTTTCTACGCATAAATGTGAGTTGAGGCCAAATTAAATGGCATTTTTATGTATTATGTCTGTAATATAACTAGTACAACAATAACAATACGATTCTTTGTCCCAAACATTGTTGGATTGGCTATGTTTATTTTACATAAACATTGCATCAACTATAATCAATCAGCTTAAATGTCTACCTCAATGGAATTATCCAACAAAGCTATTGAATCAGATGAAAATGTCATAGAACTTCCCATGATCTGATGGACAATCGGTTGAGATTAAAGAGGCTGAGGAGGTACTTGTAGCACTTCGACTTCGCCTTCAAGCATTTCTACTACTTTACTCATTGAAGGGCGTTGTATCGGATTTGTTTGTATACACCATAATGCAATCAAACTCAGCTTCCTAGCAATCTTCTTTTCATCATCGTTCGCTCCTTCATCCACCACAATCTCTTTCCCCTTATTGAACTTATCGTAAATATAATAAGGAAAGTATTGACTGGAATTCTCTTCATTTGCAACTTCATTTCTCTTCAAGTCCAACATTTCCATTAGCAGCATTCCGAAGCTGTAAACATCAGCTTTGTACGAGATTGCTCCAATGCTTCTGCTGATCAACTCTGGAGCAACATATCCAATCGTTCCACGAGCAGCTGTGAGAGTCACAATGCTCTTATCTGTTGGATATAATTTCGCAAGCCCAAAGTCAGAAATCTTTGGAATGAAATTCTCATCCAAAAGAATGTTGTGTGGTTTGATGTCAAAATGCAAAATTCGTACATCACAGCCTCGATGCAAATACCCAATTCCTCGAGCCACTCCAAGAATAATGTCATACTTCCTCTGCCAACTTAACAGAGGACTTCCTTCTTGACTCGTGCTGATGTACTTATCAAGTGATCCATTGGGCATGAAGTCGTATACAAGAGCACGCTTTATTCCCTCAACACAATACCCCACGAGTCCAACCACGTTGACATGATGAATCCTTCCGATGGTAGCTACTTCATTCATGAAATCTTGCCCACCGGCTTTAGGCTTGCTCAACATCTTCACTGCTGCATCTCTTCCACTTTGAAGCTTTCCTTTGTACACAGTTCCGTAACCCCCCTCACCTAATTTCTCTTTGAACCCTCTTGTCATTCTCTTTATGTTGGAGTAATTGTATCTGATTGGCATGAAATTGTTTTGTGTTTGCAAAAAGCCTTCAATCGTATCGTACATTGACAAATGCCTCCTTTTGAATTTGTACACCAGAAATGCAATTACCAGCGGAAGGCCTATTACAAATTTTGCTCCCAAATGCACTGCACGTTTGAGAAGTTATAACGAACCATAGAGATGATAAAACACATGATCAATGAAATGTTAATCTGTGTCCATCCAAATAACATATAGATTGCTAAAAGGATATATAGGAGCTTACACATGAAAAACAGAAGCAGCCCATTACTGATATCTGGATAGATTAAAGTGCAAATATTTTAGAATGAGAAATCAATGGAGAATTAAAAGTATATGTAGATAAAAGCCTTGAGTCCTCACCGGAAATCAAATCCAATAAACCTACAAAGACGTGCAAAAATTAAACTGTAGTGAGTGAATGTTGAGAATATAATTAAATAATAAAAGTGTGCTCTCTCTAACAGCTTAAGTTTTTAGATGAAATGGCGATTCATTATTTTCCTAGTTTCTTAGGTATAGAGGATAGAAAAGAATGTTACCCCACGAACAGTGGCGGATCCAGGATTTAAAGGTTGTGGGTGCTCACTTCTTTTAACATAAACATGTTAGAAATCACAGTGTAAGCGTATACTAACTCAAACTCTTTAATAAAAAAA